ATGCAGATTTTTTTTCACCCAAATATGGATTGAAAGATACAGTATTCATGGCATGTAGAAACTCGTGTATATGGAGGACCAACTTTCCATATATGCGGGGTTCCACAGGACCAACTGCTGAACTTTAATATGCATGGATTTTGGTATTCGGGACTCCTGAAACCAATCTCTTGCATATACTAAGGGACAACTCTACAATTCTGCATCAACAAATTAGGTAACTGAGATGAAATGGATAGATTTCCAGAAAGACATAAACTACTAAAATGGACTCAAGAAGAAATAAAAATGTGAATTGGCCTATAGGAGATGAAGATAACAAATTTGTAATTTTTAAAAAGTCCACAAAGGAATGCCCAGGCCTGGGTGACCTCACTGATGAATTCTTCCAAATAATTAAAGAATTAACCCTATTCTTTCACAAACTCTCCCAAAAAACTAAAGAGGAGAGAATGTTTCACAACTCATTCTGAGGCTAGTATTACCCTGATACCAAAACCAAAGACACCCCATGTTTATAAGTCAGAAGTCTTAATATTGTTCAATTGTCAGTAGCTCCCAGATTGATCCAAAAATTCAACAAAATAACTATCAAAATCTCAGCTGCCCTTTTTTCAGAAGTTGTCAAAGTGATACAAAAATTCATATGGAAATTAAAGGGACTCAGAATAGCCAAACAATTTTTGAAAAAGGAGAACAAAATGGGAGGACTCACACTCTCTCATTTCAAAACTCATTACAAAGGTAATGCTGTGAGTGTGTGGTACTCTGATGTAAGACCAAGCCTAGAGAGCAATGAAATATAATTAAGAGCCTATAAATAATCTCTTAATTTGTGGTCAATTGATTTTTTAAAAGAGCACCAAAACAAATAGTGAAAAGAGTTGTTAACAGATGGTGTTAGGATAACTGCTTAGACACATGTGAAAGAATTTGAACTCCTACCTCACACCATGTACAAAAATTAATTCAAAATAAAGCAAGGAGCTAAAAGTAAGAGCTAGAACTCTGAATCTCCCAGAGAAATATGTACAGGTATTAATCTTCATGATCTTGGCTGGGCAGTGATTTCTTTACATGACACTAAAAAGACAAACAACAAAAGAAAAAGATATAAATTAGGCTTCAAGAAAATGTTAAACCTTTGTTCTTTAAAGGACATCATAATGAAAGTGTAAATATGACCGGGCTCGGTGGCTCAGCCTGCAATCCCGTGCTTTGGGAGGCCGAGGTGAGTGAATTGCCTAAGCCCGTGGGTTCGAGACCCACCTGGGCAACTTGGCGAGACCTCATTTCTACAATAAATCAAAAATTAGCTGGGCGTGGTAGCGCGCCCTTGTGGTTCCTGCTACTTGGAAAGCTGAAGCGGAAGGATCACTGGAGCCCAGCAGGTTGAGGCTGCAGTGACTGGGATCGTGCCACTGCACTCCAGTCTGGGCGACAGAGTGAGACTCCAACTCAAAAAAAAAAAAAAAGTTAAACTACAACCTACAAAATAGGAGAATATTTTTGCAAATCATCTTTATGATAAGGGACTTGTGGTAAGGATATATGAAGTACTCTTACAACCCAATAATAAAGGCAAATAACAAAATTAAAAATGGACAAAATAAGCTGGGCTTGGTGGCTCAGCCTGTAATCCCATGCTTTGGGAGGCTGAGGTGAGTGGATTGCCTGAGCCCGTGGTTTCAAGACCCCCCTGGGCAACTTGACGAGACCTCATCTCTACAATAAACCAAAAAAAAAAAAAAAAAATTAGCCAGGTGTGGTAGCGCGCGCCTGTAGTTCCAGCTACTTGGAAGGCTGAGGTGGAAGGATCGCCGGAACCCAGCAGGTCAAGGCTGCGGTGGCTTGGAGTGGCCACTGCACTCCAGTCTGGGTGACAGAGTGATACTCCAAAAAAAAAAAAAAAAAAAAAAAAAAGGACAAAATAATTGAATATGCGTGTAGTCAAAGAAGATATAAAAGTGACCAGTAACTACATCAGAAATGAAAATATGTAAAATTTCGTTAGTCATTAGAGTTATACAAAACAAAACCACAGGGAGATACCACTTCAAGCCCTCTAGGATTGTGGGGTGTCAAAAAGACAAACAGTAATAACTTAGTAGCAAGGATGTAGAAAAATCGGAACTCTCATACATTGTTTTGGGTAATATAAAATGATGTAGGTGGTCTGGAAAACAGTGTTGACATTTACTTAAAAAGTTAAACATAGAGTTACCTTATGATCCAGCAATTCCATGCCTAGATAGTTACCTAAAAAAACTGAAAACATATATATCCACATAAAAACTTGTACACATATGTTCATAGTTGCATAAACCACTTGCAAAGGTTATTTATTGTATGTTTCCATGCATATGAAAGGTCTGGATTAGACAAGTCCTTAGAGATAGGAAGTAGATTAGTGGTTGTCTGTGTGTAGGGAGGAAGTGGTAATGGGACGTTATGCTAATGGTTTTGAGGTTTCATTTGGGGGGTGATTAAAATGTTTTCTTAGTGATAGTCGCACAACTTTGTGAATATACTAAAAGTCACTTAGTTGTACACTTTAAAATGGTGTATTTTTATGATGTCTTAGTCCATTTGCATTGCTATAAAGGAATACCTGAAACTGGAAAAAAGGGTTTTTTGGCTCATGGTTCTGCAGAGTGTGTAGCACCAGCATTTTCATCAGGTATGGACCTCAGGGAACTTCCAGTCTGGCAGAAGGGGAAAGGGAGCTGGTGCCACATGGTGAGAGCGGGAGCAAGAGAGAAAAGGAGATGCCAGGTTCTTTTTAAAAATCAGATATCATGAGAACTAATACACTGAAAACTCACTCATTACTGCAAGGACATCACCAAGCCATTCATGAGGGATTCACTCTCATGACCCACTAGGCCTCATCTGCAACATTGGGGATCAAATTTTGATAAGAGTTTGGGAGGGGACAAATATCCAAAAATATTATATAGTATATAAATTGTATCTCAGTTTTTAAAAATAATGTGACCTATTAGCCAAAGCTCACTTTTAAGATATCATTAATATTGTCAAACTTGGAATTTTTTTACTCATGAATGATGTCAGACTCATTTTAAAAGCATAGCTGCTGGTATGGTTATATGTTCAGATTGTATATGATAAACCTATTCAGATGGTATTTATTAACCAAATCATCAGTTATCTCTACCTAGAGCTGTGTAGGTAGTGTGACAATTTCTAAGACCTTAGCTCTGGTAGCAAGACAGGTCTGGATTTGAAACCTAGCTCTGCTCTTTATTTCCCATGTGAGTTTGAACAAATTGCTCAGCCTTTGAGATTCATAGCTTTCTCTCCTACAAATTAAGGTTAATGACATGTACCTAATAATGTTATTGTGAGAATTAAACCCTTAAGCAGAGGGCTTGGCACATTTACAGTTCAGGAAATTGGGTTTTTCCTTTAAATGTTCCAATATGATGTTTGTCACATTTCCTTTAGAAGTAAATAGATCTAGCCGGGCTCGGTGGCTCAGCCTGTAATCCCGCGCCTTGGGAGGCTGAGGTGAGTGGATTGCCTGAGACCGCGGGATTTGAGACCCGCCCGGGCAACTTGGTGAGACCTCATCTCTACAATAAATCAAAAATTAGCCAGGTGTGGTAGCGCGCGCCTGTAGTTCCAGCTACTT